ATTTATTTAATTAAATGTTCAGATATTAACAGGCACTATCGATTCTTCACTCAATTGTTCTCTGACTTGGTGTGAGAAATCAATCACGATTCTCATTGGCGCTTTCTTTGTGTACTTTAGTGTCGCAAAATAATATGAATTTTTGCTGCGACTTTTTATATTAATATACATGGTTCGTTTTGTAAAATCGTAACTCAAAATCCAGTTGAAATTTCGATCTCAAACATACACTTGAAAATTTGAATTCAGAAGGGCGCTTCTTGCCAATAATCGGCATTCAAATAAAACACAACAAGAAAACAAAGAAGGGACAGTGATAGCGTGGCAGATAAATGCGAGAAAAATCTAACGCTTGTCACGTCGAGCGCCTCGAATACTGAAATTGACGAAGTTTGCTAGTTAATACTGCAGCGTATTCTTCTTTCTTACAAGTCCCGATCGAATCTGTTCTTTTGTACAGGGAGTGCCCACGTAGATCAAAGAAAAGAAAATTTGATAACAACAGAAACTGCATATGCATGACCTCTAGCGGAAGAATAAGGAACGATGAAACAAAACTAACTACAACGAGAATTTGCACGAAAACTACACATATGGTGTAACGATTATTAAAAGCAATATAAATTTTAAAATGTTGAATGCAGATAATTTAAAAAAAAAAACGTTACACGGGGAAGGCTCCCCAAGTAAAAGGATATCAATAACCTCCAAGGCATCAAAAGCTTGTAAACTAAATGGTTTCAGAAGTGTGAAAGATCTTAACACTTTCCTTTAAAGCCCGCGCGTCCTCAGCGTTCTCAAAAAAGGATATTTGAAAAAGAAAAATTTGCGGTAAACTTGCAAACCGGTTGCTTTAAATACAACGGCCCAATTAGCTCAAGTAAGAAAAAATAAAGTTTAATCAGACAAATACATCAAGAATTGACAATCACCGATATAAGAATTAAGTTTACTACAAACGGTGCAAACTGCAGTAGTCGGCGGAACGGCATGGTAATCTCGCGCGCCACCAGGAGAGAATAACTAAGTCATGGTGACAGAATGGTCTCGAAAGCCACGAGCAAGTCAATTGGAGACAGAGGGTCTATTTCGGAGTTCAAAAGGTCGGCCATTGGCGAAAAAGCTAAAACAAAATTTACGACACACGACAACGCTAGCAATTTTTGAGAACGGAAGCGCGATATCTACGGTTCAAAAATTAACACGTCTTTCGTTATATATTCGATCCCCTGTTATCATGTTATTTGAGCGCTCTTCCAACAATACCAAGCACGACCCATTTTGATAACGTTGGCTGCAACACAATCAATTAACTACGGTTAATTATACTCACCTAAATGGCCTGGATGAAATTCCGAAATTTGGTAATTCAGTTCGCACCGATCACGTCCCGCAATTTTGGAATCAAGCGACAGGGTAGCTTCAGGTTTATCTACATGCGACCATTGGGTAACTTAAATCGGCCAATCATTAATAAACGGAGCTGAAATCATGCAGCATTAGTTTTTCCTCTGTTTCCAATCGGAGAGAGCTTTCGGAAGCTGCAAAGACCATTTAAACATCTCTACGGGAACGGCTACAAACTGCAAATGAGTTACAGTATATTGATTTCCTTATCGGCGGCTGATTCGGCGCTTCAAATTAAGGCCATTACTTTTACAGTGAATGTTGTCCATAATGGTAATCGTTTATTCTTTAATAATATGAAAATTTGAAATTATGCTATCTATTTCGACATCTCCGTGTCATCTTCAAGCAACTAAAATACTAAGTTAATATCAAGCAATAAAATGTAATAAAATACTTACATGTGTAGTGTACTTAACCCCTAGGTTTTATGCTAACTTCACACTACAAGAGCAGGGGAATAAAGTCAACCCGGCAACGTTTAAAAATGGCCACCCGAATGACTATTGCCTCCAATATAAACAAGATCCCGCTTAAATTTGAAAAGTGGCACGTGATCCAACGTTACGTTAGTTGTAGACAACGCTTTGACCTGAAGCACAGTAGGGAAGGAACGTAAAATAAAACACTGAAATTGTGAAAAGTTTGTTTAATAATGATCGCAATTATTAAGATTGTGAAAGCCCGGAAATTTAAGTCCAAAATAAATTATACTGCAAAAATAAACTTTTGAAAATGGTAGTTCACCGAATCAAAATAGTTAGGTTGGGAAAAAAAGAACTTACCAATAAAAAAAACCAGCCGTCAAATTAATATCAAATTGTGTTGTAAAATTAATTGTTTGTAATGATCTGAATGCGTAACATAAAATTATAACATTACAAAAAGTAAGGAAAAAGAGGTAACGTATAGGTTAAAAACAAGTTTTGGAAATTATGGGCCAGTTAGGCAAGTACCAAGATTCTAAGAAAGGGTGAAATACACAGAATGACTCATCTTTGGTGCAATAAAGTCCTTTTGTTAAAAGCAAGATGGAAAATTACATGGCCTTGTAGGCAAATTTAACTAAAAACAACAGTTGAATGTTGAAGACAATCACGGAATTAGGTGTCGTAACTCAATTTTGACTACAGTTTTTTTACCACCCCCGTGACTGCTTCACTCACGGAGAAAATTGTTAGTAACAAACAAGTTAGTACATACATCAAACGAATCAGTAATTTCCACATATTAAAATAAAATGATCAAAACATATGAATGTTACTTCAGGGACAGAACCAAGTAATCAGAATCGATAAACATAAATTAAGCAAGCATTACACCAAAAACGTAAACAATTACAAACAATAGCATAACGGTATCACGTATGTGATTCTGCATTGCGGTGAAACCAAGTAAATTTCAAACACACAAAAAATATAAAATGTGGCATACAAAACACAAATAGGATATAAAGAAATGCAAGGATTACTACTTACATTAAATAACACAAAATAACAACAAACATTTAAGGGGCGACGAGTTCACGACGATCAACGTAAATCGTTCGTGCTTTTTAGATGGCGCAGGCAGCTTTTTCCCCACCTAGAAATTGCATGGTTGCCAACTCTCAAAAATGTATGAATCGTCGAAAGTTGTATATACAAGGTGGAACCTTTCACTGTAAGTAATTACAAACAACGTGGCTAAATCGTAACATTTGACAAGGACATTGAAATTGAAGTTAAACTTAACCGAATTCTGGTAATGGGCATGTGTCTCTTGTACGAGGAGAGAAAGCAAAAATTGTAAGTTTCAATTTTGCGCTAGCTGGACAGATGGTTTGTGGGTGGTGTAGTTGACCGATCGCACACAGCATATAATTATTTGGCGTCCAACGTGGAGCCACAGCAACGTTTATACATTGAAATAGAAAGGGACTCGTAAACTAACGCCAATATGATAAAAATTAAAAAATATTGGGAAATAATACAAATATAAATTTTCTTGACTCAAGATTCCCCTAGGTCGAAGTTCGTATTCGTGGAATATGAAGTTGATAAGAATGGACAATGGTCCGAAATATCTAATTAGATTTGCCTTATGGAACGCCCAGATAGGAGAGATCTATTAATACGATCACAGCGTTCATTATGTCAAGGTGCGTCTTTGCTGATAATACATCCGATATAAAAGTTCAGTAGCTTCGGTGCGGCTTGAATCATTAAATGCATGCGTAGAGTATTGTATTTCGTATTAAAATTAATAGAAAATCATCTTGTTTCGGTAGAAAAATGAACTGAAGATTATAGTCCGAGAAGCTAGCGGAAGTGAGAAAAATTACGCTGATTACATTAAGAGGTATAGTGAACAAACTACCCAAAAATATAATGTAACGGGAGCCCTCTAACACATTTTATTTAATTCGTTCTTCCTTACATTTTTTCGATTTTTGTTGTTAGGCGAATGGTTTCTGAGTACAATCCTGTCGAATTAAACGTGTACGAAAGTTGGCGGTGCGACACAAGACGAAATTAACTGGCATTACGTGCGGCGATCCTGCTGATGTTGTATCTTATCAGGATACTGTGTGTTTTGTTTTGCCGAGTCAACGTGGATCAGATTTATATATGTCAATGTGTTTATTTTGCCCCCCCCCCCCTGTTACCCAAATTTTTCGACATACTTGATCTTGTGTAATGAGAGTGAATTTCGGCACACATTGCGTCTTGATGAACCGAAATCGAATGTGATTAATTCGTAATTTGACTCCTGTAGGAATCTGGAATTAATCTAAATTTCTATCAGGAGAGGGCGATAGTTTCGGAGACGTCAACACCAGTACAATTACCATCACCATTTCATTCCCACTTCCTTCCAAGCACTATATAAGCAGACACCGAACCAGAATGGTCTTAGAATCTTTGCCCTGATCTTAAGTACCACAGTCATGTTCCCTGGTTAGAGTAGCGATTGTAACACTGCTCTCACTCTCTTCAGTTACCTTCCGCGAATTAAGGGTGTCCGCGGGCTGTATAGCCGACCTCTCCTTCAATTAAAGTAGATGTGTCGGTTGTAATACCGCGCTCTTCTCAGTTACCTTCCGTGAATTAATGGTGTCCGGCTGTATAGCCGCGCTAGTAATTAAATTTACCTGTTTTTAAATTTCTGTAGACGCTGCGAATGTATATTCGCGCTCGCCGGGAATAATGACTTCTGTAGTTTTATTTATTTATTTATCCCTTCTCGCCCTTACACGGGCAATTTCGAAAAAAATTGTGAAACAGGAAAGTACAGTTACAACATCTGTTTCAGTGTATGAATAATGCCTTTCTAAAATGATGAGTGAGAGGTCCAAACTTTTATAAGTAGCATTCTAACTATCTTTTCTCATGTACCTCTTTGAATCGCCTTCCGAATAATGTTCCAAACATTAACGCTAACGAGCTGAATTCCAACTTCGAATAGTTCAAATCTTCTACCTCTTGGCCAATGGACGTCAAAGCTTTACGATACCATTAAGGAGAGGCGAACAAATTTTCCGCACATTGGCAAAACATAAAACCTATGACTTCCTGAAAAACATATAGCGAGATCTTAAATATTTCGCCGAATACGTAATATCAAAACTTTAATAAAACTTTACGACTGTAAACAAATACGAAAGTCCATTTCGCGATCGGAAATATTTATGAAAATTAGTCTATTAATAATGCAGCGCAATCCGTTATTTGGATGGCGTAGTCGAAGGCGTTTCTAATTTTGTTCTCCAATATTAGCAGGACCTCGTTCCTGAGATTTCCAATCATCCACGTTTTTATGTTTTTTGCGAGCCAGCTTAGCGATCCCAGGCCACTAACGAGGACTTCGATGTCGCTGTAACAGAAAAAAAAACGAAATGAAAAGCGGATTGGAGTTTTTAGTTGCTTTTAGACATTTACTTCGCGACTTATGACAGTTTTTTTAAGAGAGAAACCATATATAGTACTTTTCGAGTAGAATGCCCACTTTAGCTAAGATCTTAGGCTTATAACTTGTTGAATACATGAATTTCACCCTTTTTATTGTAAGGGCATGTACGTAACGTATATTCTTTACAAAACAGTACGATAACCGAAATGCTCAATTTTACGTGTCCATATGCGACGAACTGTCCTAGAATTTAGGTATTGGGTTGGTAGTTCAGCTCTTGCTGAAGTTACTTACGGAAAAGTAGCAAGGAACAAGTTTATTATTTTTTTTGTAAAATTAAGGAAATAACGAACGTTATTATGTGACATCTTTTAGATTTGCAATTAACCCATGTTCTGCACCCGATAAAGATACAAAATACCATGGTGCTTTAATGCGTGAAGTGTGGAATGTTCCGTATCATATATGGCCATTGTCAAGGCCACGTTATCATTATTATTATTCATTACCTTCAATTTTGTGCATATAGTATGCACTTAATACATGATCCCCATTATAAGAGATCATCGGGCGCAACGTGCAACCTTGCAGTGCAAGACTCTCCCTCTAAGTCCGTTCCGTGTGTTTCTACCATCCCGTTCCCTCACAATATATTAATTTTTGGAAGGTTTTTTTCTCATGGTTCATGGTTCATGATCCTAGAAGTCTATCAAGCCGACACTGAAAATGTTGACTTACTTACCGTTGCCAAATCTGGGAAAAAACTACGAGCAGAGCGACCTACCTTTCAAGTCGAAACGATGGACGTTTCGCGGCACTTTAGAATTTGGATGGCAGTCGGCTCGATATGGGTGGCACGAATGAACTCCTACGTTGTGTAATCGGTTCTTGTACGTGTCGGGACGTGAGACATAATCGGGAAGGGAAATAAATCAAAGACAGAACCTTTGTGCGTAAGAAATGCCAAGAACAAATTAATATATTACGCACACAACAAGACCATACCAGGGAAACCTTCTACGGGACAAAAACCCCCGGCATAGGGCACACAAATACATGAAATAAATCACCTACAGCAGGGGTCGGCAACCTATTGAAACGGAAAAGCCAAAAATTACAATTTACAAAATTTCCTAGCTTTTAAAGAGCCACAAAAAATTTTTAATTCAATATTATAGTTTTTGGCTATATACAGGGTCCTGCAACAGTGCGTCGGTTTTTCCGACATAGCTGATACCTGGTAAAAAATATTGGTGGTTGCGGATCTACAGAAATTATTTTTGAATGTACAGGGTGTTCCATTTTTACGATGTCAATAAAAAACTGATCTTTTTAAATAGAACATCCTGCATATTTTTACTTGTTTCAATGCCATTTGTTCAAAGTGCTATAACTATTCTTTTTCAAATGGAACTACCACTATTTTATTTCGCTATTCGATTGTCTTTTGTGTTCTCTTCAATGTTTGCCCTGTGCTTAAACCCCGCAGTTTTTATGTTATTCAATATTTTTCACAAAAGTACCTACTCATTAATTAATGACGTGTTTATACATCGCAGTAGGCTGCTATAATAAAAAAACAAAAGAATACCAGAAAGTAAACAAGTGTCACAAATTAGATAATTAATTGCTGCACGTGTACTTTTGATTTCGTAAACAAATAAGATAATAAAAAGGCGAACCAATGAACTAATTTTTTTAGATAAATAAGGAGAGCCGCAACTTTATATCAAAAGAGCTGCAGGTTGCCCACCCCTGACCTACAGCAACGAAATGCAAGAGAAAGTACCTACACATAAATAAAACATCTCAAATTGTATGATAAATCTCAGGTAATCGAATCAAATGCAATTAAACAAATTCATAAAAACGAAAACACATGAGACGTCATAAATGCATTGGAAAACATCATAAATCAATGTAGTACAAAAACACATCAAAATACATGGACAATCATTTGAGATAACACAACTCGTAAAATAATAAATTGCATGTACATAGAAAACATCAAAATGGTGTGACTCCACTTCAGCCTTCATTACACAATTTTTTTAACACGAAAAGTACATGTTAGAATGGCAAGTATTCATGTGGAAGTCGATCATCGCTCACGCAAAACATATTTTAAATAGAAGAAATGTTAATAAGAGGGCCCCCTAAATATCTCGCATTGCTAAGATGCCAAGAACAACTGCGATCCGCACGAGATGAATAGGCAACAGATACAGCGAACGGTCGAACTGTATTAGGTACCTGCTCCACGGAGACAGGTTGAACCACTCGCACACAGACACATCAAATAAGAGAGCCTCCCCTTTTCGTATAGCTAACGCACAAGAACTGCAGCGCGCCACGAATAAGAAAGTAACAGATACAGCGAGCAATCGAACTGTATTAGGTACTTTCTTCACGGAATAGTTACGATTCAATCAAACAGAGCAACATCACACTGATAATCATCTCAGCGTGAATACAGAAATAAATACCTAATAAAACAAAACACTGGTATAATCACCTGTACAGTATAACAAACACGATTCATCTAACGGTATTCAAAACAAAGGCACGGAGTACGCCATGATTGGATATCGGCAGTTTATGGAAAATCAGCAAAACTAAGTAATTAAGAAGAAAAACCCAGGAACGCATGATGCTCTCCATCGACTCCGTGGCCATCTTCTTCATTCTGCCACCTTTTTCTCCTGGCTTCGTTATGAAAATCCCATACCATAAGGGTGGATTATCACAACCTCTTACAACCGAGAGTAGCTCTAAGGCCCTCATTGATTCCATGAGAGGAAAAAGATGGAAAAATTAGATACCTAGTCCTTAACCAAGGTTGGCGGATCGTACGATAAGAAACTTGAATTTATAAGAAAGTTGATAAATATATCTACTACTAGCAAGGAAATTTGGGCCAGTTTATGAGCAGAGATGAGAGCAAAGGCAAGATCGCATTTTCAATCAGTTTTTTAGAATCCTGAATGCATGATTTTTAGGGGAATAATTGATGGAAATATCAAATAAGCAGCTCCTAATGATTTCGAATGTTAATGTGTTGCGTATATTGTTGTAACATACAGGGTGATTCCTATAGTACCTGCCACCGTTTGGGAGCGTGTAGGTGGTGCGTAGGGGAGTATTTTGATATAGGACACTTGGGGTCGGAAATCTAAAATAAGGGTGCCAGAGCCAAATTTACCTTCTGGAATTTCGCACCTGTAGGTAGGCAACCCAACCGGCCGGCGGTGCACACGGAGCGATCTCAGGCGGCGATGTGTGGCTGACACTTGATCAGAATTTTGTTTAAACCCACGAAATCCCGGCTGCAACGACGCGTATCAAGTGAATAAACACTATGGCAATAGTATAATAATAGTTGGCTAGATGTAGGAAGTGCATTGAGAACAACGGTGGCCACGTTGAACACTTGTAAACGTTATTGCTTTTGACTGTTGTTTTCCCTCCTTCCCTCCCATGTCGCTTCCTCGCGCTAACTCGCTCTGCATCGCTCCGCGCGAAACGTCGGTCGGTTGGGTTGCCTACATACAGGCGTGAAATTCCAGAAGATAAATTTGGGTCTGGCGCCCTTATTTTAGATTTCCGACCCCAAGTGTCCTATATCAAAATACTCCCCTAGGCACCCCCTATACGCTCCCAAACGGTGGCAGGTACTATAGGAATCACCCTGTATACATAATAAGTTTTTGAGATCCATCACATAACACTATTCAAATAACATAAATATTCAGGAGTCATAAAAAAATCACGTTAGAGATTTATGCAACAAAATGGGAAAATACAATTGTCTCGTATAGTCATAAAAAAGGAGGGGAACATGAGCATAAAATATTAGCACAATTTGTACTTAAGGATGCAGGGGGGGGGGGGGGGGGGAAGTGGAATTATAACATTCAATCTTACTTGACTTCCGAGCTGAGCGAGGGCAGTGTTCTAGGACTGAGTTCGAACACCCGACCTCCGGTTTTGTAGCCTAACGCTCTACCACTGAGCTACAAAGCTTTTGAATTGAACAGTTCCCGCTATAAATCTTATGCACTTCATTAAAGGCGAAAGACGCAAGTGTTACGCCACTGTATTGGTCTTGGGTCGAATATTAATAATTCAATTGCATAAGAACGAAGGCTCGCAAGTAGCCGCCTTCGAGCAAGAGAGAGAAGGATGCGGGAGTTTTTAGTCGAGACCGCAGAAAGTAGTTAGTTTTGCGTTTGATTCACAACCACAGGGAAATTTACCCATTATTTTTTTCTTTGTAATGAGTATAGGGTAATTGCTTATGTTTATTTGCTGTTGATTTATTAGGCATTTGAGATCATAAATTTGAATTGACGGGGCCTTTGTCTAAAATGACGCATTTCTAAATCGCAGCATATTGTTTGTGATTTTGAATAAATGCACCAAATGAAAGAAGACAGATACATTTGACATTTCCTTCATATAATATTTCAGCATTATCGATGCGTTTAAGACTTTGCACGTAAGACGCGTCCTATTCATCCACGAAAACAACGTTTCATATTTTTTATAATAGGCTTTACCAGATTTGGATTTTGCGCTTACCAACTTTTCCTCTGCTTTTGCAACAAGCCACTGAATGGATAATGTATTATCTTCTTCAACCAAAGTCATTTTATTTACTAAGACGGTGATTTTTTGTAAACAAACGTCAAGTGACATCATGGAACTACGAATAAACAGTCCACTTAAACATGTCTTCGAGTACGTCAATAATGCTTTATTTTATTTCCCTTACCTTTAAATTATTTTGCAGGTATAAGAAAAAATACAATACGAAACACGGGTATAATTGGTTTAATTAATTAACCTCCTTGCGCGTGCTTTTAAAGACTTGATTATCCACTTGTCTCTTAATACACTATTAAAAGTTTTTACACTTTTATATCACCTTATAAAAAGTTCAAGGATTAGAGACTCTTAAAGGC